TTTTTTTTTTTTTTTTTTTTTGGGGGGGGGGCCGGGAGAGATGAGAGAGGGAGAGAGAAAGGCATGATTTGATAATTATTTTCTCTTTTCTTGCCCCTAAGGAGAGAGCGAGAGAGCGAGTACGAAAAGCATGACCATAGTCACAGATCCATTGTATTTTGTGGGGCATCAGTTTGGTTCGTTTCCCATTGGCAGGGCCCTCGTAATCATAAAATAGAAAAACTGTTCTAGATTCAGATAGCGAACACACAAAATACATCCCAGACAGACTCTTGGGTCTTGTGCCATGTTCCTGATTTTCTCTTTTTTCCCATGCCATGTTCCTAATTGCCAAGATTTCAAATTATGCCGCTGTATGTCATTCTGGTACCAACTCCCACATTCCCATTCTGGTACCAAACTCGCATTCCCATCCTGCCAACGATTCCAGTTCCACTTTTTTTTTCGTTTTTTGAAGTTCTTTCTTTGTTACATACAATCATTGGAGTTTGCCTCCATGTCTTTCAGTGCAGGTGCAGACCCTGCAGGACGACGAGCAGGTCCAGTTAGACTAGCGACCATTACCGGCCTGCTTACCAGAAGGTGTGTCGGATTGTGTCCTTTTCCAATGGCAATAGAATGATTTTTATTTTTTCCCCCCAGTGGCAGTAGAATGATAATCCGACAACCACAGTCTTTCTCCCTGTCTGCGAGGGTTGGCCCAGTTTTCCAAGAGGTAAGTGGTTGTTTCAATCACAAGCACCTCAAACCCACATTTTTTTGTCCTGATGCTCGGTTTTGCTCACCCGCCCCTGGACCCTGGAATATTAACCCGTCACAGGGCAAGGGGGGGCCTATCAGGCACCACCAACCTTTTCGGTCCACACCATGTCAACAGATGCGTTGAACTGCATTCTCATTGGTGGCTTGGCCGGGTACTAATGGTTTAAACTTTAAACTTTGAAGTATAAAGTTCAAACTTTAAACTTTAAACTTTAAAACTTTAAAGTTAACTTTTAAACTTTGAAGTTTCAAATTTAAAGTCGAGTAATGACATTCTCACAATTTTTCAGCCAAACAGATTCTACAAGGAGACCTGTCATATGGGCATCAATCACGTGGGTTTCGGAGAGAATGAGGAGATTGGAAGGAAGGTTCATGAAAAGTTCACCACTATCTTATGTCCGCACGTGCCGGACATAAAACCCTGAAGATAACACACATCAGGCTTAACAGCAGTCCAATGATAATCAGAATTGATCAATAACCTGGTTCCAAAGAGCAGCCGAGGTTCACACCAGGTCTATTGACTCTGTTCCACTACCTTGGCTAGGATTTAAATTGCCGCAACCGGGACCCTTCTACTCAAAACTTGCAGCTGTAACTGCAGAAGCTGCACAGTTTTCGATTGTCCCAGGGCAAAATAGATTCACCACTGTATGGCTGACCACCAAACCCTCACAGTGATGAATTGCTACAAGAAAGGAGCAAAGGCTATATACAGCATACCACTACCGTGACAAGGCATACCTTCATAGCTTCAGAAATGAATTGGAACGAGATAAGAGCAGAGAAAGTATCATCCGTAAACCTTGTGAAGAGCCGCACCTGGAATCCAGAATCGCAAACAAATTTGAACCATAAAAAACCGGAAGCCATAATGGACATGACAAGTCAGAAATATCCCCTAAGCCTCGAACGCTCAAATCGCATTTTTCCTCCGAAAAGTTGGCAAAGTGAGGCAAACACATAACACCTGCTTAACTCTGCAGAAAGAAACGCACAGTTCCTTTTCGACTGCCAACGCCCAAATGGAAAAACCAAACGCCGGCGAGCCTAAATGGCAAAGCACATGTATAATAAAGTTACTAAAGTAATATAAATCCACTTCATTCAAATTTCGAACCCTGCCAATTATAGCACCATCCATGAAGTTCTTTCCTATTTTTTTTTTATTTTTCTGTCTTTTAAAGTGCGGATTCAGCGGAGCCTTTCATCCGCTAATCTTTTTGTAGACATGTATCTCTCTCCGAGATGTATACGGCCATGACAATTTTCACGGAACCAAATAGACGAAAAAGTACAAAGGATAATCCACCTCACCACCAGAAGCCACAGATTCATACTCCGGTGCAGTACAGCAATGATTGCCAGCGAGCATGCATTCTGTCATGTTGTGTTTAAGTCCTAACGAGGAGGAGAGGGTAAGCACAACGAAAGTGAGGGCAAGGCATAGACGCGAGCGAGATGTACACCAGCGAGCAGCCAGCATGACTTGCATAGATGAATAGGAGGCGAAGGACGAGAAGACAGCTTCAACAGAACGAGGACGAGGCAGCAGTCAGCACTGATTTGGTCGGAAAATAGGGGGAGCAGGAGGTCGAGTTGGAGTCGGAGGAGATAGCTTCAACGCAATTAAGGCACAGATCTGCAAGGTAAAAAAACTCATGTGAGGAGGCCAGCCAGCAGCCAGCAGCATCTCATTGCTTTGACAGAGAATAGGAGGGGGAGTCGGAGGAGGGGAGAGAGGACACGTTTTTTTAACTCAAGTCTCAAGGAGTCTGCTGTTCACAGCTCCAACAATTTACTTTGCTTGTCAGGGTATGCTACTATGCTTAGCTCTTATTACAGGAATCTCCTAGGCCCAGAACGGGTTGGCAAAACATGGCTTATTCTCCTGGGTGGACATAAATCTGTCAGAATGGTACCCGATAAGCCCATTCTGTCTGCTGCACAAGTTCCAGAGCTGTCAGCATTGGAGCTCAAATTCCCAAAGTCCCAGATTCCCAGATTCACGTTCTATTACGCAAACTTTCTAACCGAGAGCACACGAGACAGATATGTTTACATATCATACAACAAGAGCATTTGTGAGTTAGTGGTGTGTCCGGAAAAAATGAGGACAACATGACATCCATGACTCTCACACAGCTGCAAAATGAAAAAGGATCGGGGAAAGTACATGGGGAGGAAGCTGAGCAGATAAAGAAAGGGAGGTTGGGCCTGTGTTCCCTCTCTTACCAGATCGCAGGCTTCGGTCGCAGCTAAACCAATCAGGAAAACCGCTGACCATATTCCTACCCACGAATATGTCGGAAGAAACGGCAAGCTCAACTGCATACATGCCTGCTCGCAAGACATGGCATTGTGACACAAGCCAACAAAGACACACAGCCAGCACCAAATGCCGTCAGAAAACAGCTGACCATATTGCTTTTCGTTTTCTTTTCTTTTCTTCATGCTAATCTACTCTGTATAGTTCCAATTTTAACGGATAATTGAATGGTTAGACAGGTTAGTATGATAAACTTTTTTTTTTTTTTTTTTTTAGTATGATAATTTGATAAACTGATATCCTAGAATATAGCCTTTCTTGACAGGGGGGTCTGCAATAGACTGCCACGATTGCAAGGTTGTTGTGAATCGAGTCGACCACAGCTGTCAAGGTGTTGCTAACTGTGTAGACAAAGATGATGTGTCCAGATACATCAGTGTAATGACCCGCCCAAAACACAGACTGAGAACACTGCTGATTTCTGGGATTTGCCAATGGAATGAATGCCTTGCTGTGATTCCCGCATCCTGCTGTGGTCCCAAGTCTGTGTGTGTGCATGCCTGCTGGTTTGCATGCCTGTCTGAGTGCTTGCCGGAAGTGTGTGTGTGCGTGCCTGCTGGGTTGCATGCCTGTCTGAGTGCTTGCTGGTTGGGTACGTGTGTAACCCGCCAGGGTACTTGTTGGTTGCAAGGCCCAATGGGCCGGTACTTACCTGTGGCCGTGACTTTGGAGGGTTGCAGGGGGGTAAACATGCCGGTAGCGGGGAGTAGGCCTACGGCACTTAGAGCAGCTGGGGAAAAACACTCAAGTAGCAGGTAGGCCGAGCAGAAGAAGACAAAAAGTTGGCATTTTTAGAGGCCCAGTAGCGGTAGGTTAGAGGTAGGCCGGTACCAGTCCAAGTAGCCCGGGTCTAGGGCCTGTGCGGACAATAACAGAGCCTGCAATGATGTTTCCCTCCAAAAGGGAGGAGGTA